ATATATATATATATATATATATATACATATATATATATATATATACACACTTATTATAATTACTTGAATGTTTCTTATATTGTATATATATCAGGAAGATTTTTAAATTTATTATTTCTGTAGTAATTTATTATACTCTCTGCAATCTCAGTATAGTGCAGCTTTGCAGAAAACATTGCAGAAAAATATTATTTTAACGCAATTTTTACGGCAATATTTTCTCCATGTAGACATGCTGAAATAAGTATCCGACCGTGGAGTTTTCATCGCGGTGGAACGTCGCACATCTTTATAGACTTCGAAAACTTTGATAGTACCTTCTTTCTCCACAGCTAGATCGTAAAAACTACTTTCGGGTCCGCAGCACGAAGACACGTCACCGAAATACAGCTCGCTCTCGGACTGCTTCGGGCCAGGATTCGCCTCCTGCTGAAATGCCCCGTTCTCCACGCCCTTCAAGGGCTTCCTGGCTCTCCTACCTTTGATCGTTCCTTCGTTTCCACCTTCGGGATCCGTGCTGTTGGAAATCTCCTCAGCGTTCTCGTAATTGTCGGAAGGCCGCTTCGCTGATCGCGTCCTGTGATCTAAACATTCGAGAAAGCACGAACGATTAGTTTTTAATGTGTGAAATTTAATAAATATCTAATTGTCAGGGATTGTTTTTTAATGAAATTAAATGAATATCTAATTGTCAGGGTTGTTGTTTTGTTAAATCATTTATTGAGATTTGTTTGTGTCACGAACAGGAGTTAGATAGCTTATAGTATGTAATAAATATATTACCTTCGTTATTCTCAAAGTTATCCATCCTCTTAGCAATTCTGGCCCTCGACTCGGACACCTGTGGCCGTCTGGCTGGACTGTTAGGGTCGCTGTAAGGAGGCGGAGGTCCCCACAATGGCACAGGTGCTTCCAGAACGCTGTAGGACGCGGTGCTCGGCGTGTACGGGGCGTTCTGAGTATTCAAGACCGAGTAAGGACCACTCGACTGCGAATTAAGGACACTGTAAGGTCCCGTACTGCTTTCCACGTTAGCTTCCGCCGGTCGTGTTTGTGTGTGAAAGCCGTAATTTGAGTCTGGACTTGGTGCCGGACCTCTTGACCTGGACCAAGGCAGCCGCCATCTCCTGAAGAACAAATATGAATCGTTAGTCAGGAAAAAGCAGACATAATTTTTTATCATAATATTTTGTTGTTGTCGAAATAAATATAAATGTCTCTGCACGAGATAATTTTACATATAATTATAATATTATATAATGGATTATTTTATTATACGATAATATATTTTTAACAATAATACTATACGATAAAAATATTGTATTATTATATTATATCATGTAATTATGATAATAAAGAGAAATAAAATTATAATAATTATTAAATAATTATTATCCCTTCATATTTCTCACAATGTTGACTGGTGATTTCGTTGTCGTGGCACAACACACCTTTCTCTCTCTCATATGTGTTCTATTTGACTGTTAAGTTATTACGTCAATTTTGGCAGTTGAGCTTTTCTAAACCTAACTAAAGAAACTAAGAAAAAAGAGAAAAAAGTAAGAGAAAAGAAAGAGAAATCTGCTCGAGACAGAAAAAGGAAGAGAAAGAAAGAATATGTTTTATCATTATAATTAAAGTTACTTAACCTAATTTTATTTTTATTATATGTATAAGATTAATATTAAATACTTATTAAATAGTTACAGACAAAAAGTAACTTCTCACCTTAACAGCATTACATAATGGTTTATTCATTGTTATTGAATGGTTTACTCATATCTATTGAACTTATTATTAATCTTGAAAAATTACTCAATATCGTCATTATTACTCAAGAAGTAAAAAGTTATTACAAGATATAATGAATTAATACCATTTTCAACAAGTTCTGAAAGATCTTTCCTTGAAAATTTGATACCGCTTTCTCATATATATATATATATATATGTATTCATAAACTAATCATATAAGTTTCATTCATATTCAATATTGTTAGCTAAAACATGTATTTCTATTACTGTTACAGTTGCATTTAAGAAGATTAAAACTCTTACTAAATTGTTCTAAACAAAAATTAGTTTCTAACCTTATAAGCGTTATGTAACAGCTCTTATTACAAGTTGAACTTACTGTTACTATCACTAATCTACAAAAATTACTCATTGCCATTATAATTATTGAAGAAGAGTAAACAGATATTACAAGAAGTAAGTACTAAGAGTTAGTATTGTTTTTAACAAGTTTCAAAGGTCCTTTCTTTGAAAGTTTGATACCGCTGTCTCATGTTCATGCATTCTAAACATATTCACAAACTATATAACTTTCATTTATATTCATTACAATTAGTTAAAACATATATTTCAGTTACTGTTACAATTGTATCTTAGAAGATTAGAGCTCTCATTAAATTGTTTTAAACAAAAATTAGCTTTTAACCTCAATAAGCGTTATATGACAGTTTGTATTACCTGTTGAACTTACTATTACCATGTTACTAATCTTGATAAATTACTCATAACCATCATTAATATTTAAAAAATAAAAAGTTGTTACAAGAAGTAATGAGTTAGTACTGTTCTTTAACAAGTTTTGAAACTTTCTTTGACAGTTTGATGCCGCTATCTCATGTACATGTATTTTAGATGTATTCAAAAAGTAACTCTATATAAGATTCAATTATATTCATAACTATTAGCTAAAACACGTACTTCTGCTACTGTTACAGTTGTGTTTAGGAAGATTAAATCTTTTACTAAATTATTCTAAACAAAAATTAGCTTCTAACCTTATAAGCGTTATGTGACAGCTCTTATTATCTGTTGAACTTACTGTTAATATTACTAATCTACAAACATTACTCACTGCCATTATAATTATTGAAGAATTAAATAGATATTACAAGAAGTAATGAGTTAGTACTGTTTTTAACAAGTTTTAAAGGTCCTTTCCTTGAAAGTTCGATACCGTTGTCTCATGTACATATATTCTAAACATATTCACAACCTAATTATATAAATTTCATTTATATTCTTTACTATTAGCTAAAACATATATTTCAGTTACTATTACAATTGTATTTTATGATATTAGGACTCTTATTAAATTGTTTTATGCAAAAATTAGCTTTTAACCTCAATAAGCAATATGTGATAGTTTTCATTACCTGTTGAACTTACTGTTACCATGTTACTAATCTTGATAAATTACTCATAACCATCATTAATATTCAAAAAGTAAAAAGTTATTACAAGAAATAATGAGTTAGTACAGTTTTTAACAAGTTTTGAGAACCCTTTCTTTGACAGTTTGATACCGCTGTTTCATATACATGTATTCTAGATGTATTAAAAAACTAACTCTATATAAGATTCAATTACTCATAACTATTAGCTAAAACACGTACTTCTGCTACTGTTACAGTTGTGTTTAAGAAGATTAAATCTTTTACTAAATTATTCTAAACAAAAATTTGCTTCTAACCTTATAAGCGTTATGTGACAGCTCTTATCATCTGTTGAACTTACTGTTAATATTATTAATCTACAAACATTACTCACTTCCATTATAATCATTGAAGAATTAAATAGATATTACAAGAAGTAATAGTTAAATAGTACTGTTTTTAACAAGTCCTTTCCTTGAAAGTTCGATATCGCTGTCTCATGTACATATATTCTAAACATATTCACAACCTAATTATATAAATTTTATTTATATTCTTTACTATTAGCTAAAACTTATATTTCAGTTACTATTACGATTGTATTTTATGATATTAGAACTCTTATTAAATTGTTTTAGAAAAAAATTAGCTTTTAACCTCAATAAGCGTTATGTGACAGTTTTCATTACCTGTTGAACTTACTATTACCATGTTACTAATCTTGATAAATTACTCATAACCATCATTAATATTTAAAAAATAAAAAGTTGTTACAAGAAGTAATGAGTTAGTACCGTTTTTAACAAGTTTTGAGAATCCTTTCTTTGACAGTTCTTATTATCTGTTGAACTTATTGTTATATAACATAAACATTTATCATATAACTAATCTTAATGAATGAATTTCTTATTACTGTTATCGTTATTCAAGAAATAAAGAGTTATTACAAAAAATAATGAGTTAGTACTGTTTTCAATAAGTTTTGAGAGTCCTTTCTTTGACAACTTAATACTGTTGTCTCATGTACATATATTCTAGATGTATTCACAAACTAATATCTATGTAAAATTTAATTATATTCATAATATTAGCTAAAATATGTATTTCTGATACTGTTATAGTTACATTTAAAAAGATTAAATCTCTTACTAATTACCTGTTGAACTTACTGTTACCATTAATAATCTAGAAAAATCACTCATTACTGTTATTCTTATTCAAAAATTAAAGAATTATTGCAAAAAATAATTAGTACTGTTTTCAATAAGTTTTGAAAATCCTTTTCTTAACAGTTTAATACTGCTGTCTTATACAGATCTATTCTAAATGTATTCATAAACTAACCATATTCAATTATATTCAATTATATTCGTTACTATTATTTAAAACATATATATAACTCTGCTACTAATACAGTTATATTTAAAAAGTTTAAAATTCTTACTAAATAGTTCTAGACAACTAATAACTAGACACTTCTAATCTCTTATGAACATTACGTAAATATCACTCATTACTTATTAAAGTTATTATTATTATTACTAATCTTGAAAAGTTATTCTTTAATGTTATTATTATTCAAGAAGTAAAGAATTATTACAAGAAATACTGTATTAGTATTGTTTTCATCATGTTTTGAAGATCCTTTTCTTGACAATTTGATGCTATCTCATCATATATTTTTGTACATGTATTTATAAGTCAGTCATAATACTTCCAATTATATTTATTATTTTTACCCAAAAAATGTAATTCCGTTATTATTATTGTTATACATTTAAAAAAGACAACATGCCCTTAATAAATTTCAGATAACGTAACTTCTAATCTTAAGCGCATTATATAATGCTGACTTCTCAACTCTGATAATCTATTTAAATAATAATAATTCAATAATGATACATAAATGTGAAATATATAAATGTGTTTTTTGCAAAGAGCTACTATAAAATATATTTTTACTATAGAATATATTTTTTTACTTGTATGAGTCCAGTACGGAAATTAGTGGTTTTAAAACTGAACATATTGCAACTTAATACATTATTAAATATATCATACATAGTATGAAAAAATATAAGTGATTTTAGGAAATTAGGAAATAAACGACATACAAGAAGATAAAAACTAATAATAAGTTTTTTACTATTTTAACCCTTAGCTGGCACTCTAAGGGTCGGTTTATCCAATCTCTTGCTAAGCTAACTAACAGTTAAATCTTATGTCTGTTTTTACCTAATTTAAAGGAGAAACAAAGACGTATGAGTTAACTGTTAGTTAGCTTAGCAAGAGGTTGGAAAAACCGGCCCTAAGATACCAAAAGCCCCAGCTTAATTCAGCTCCAATTTATTCTCCCCTATAGTATGAAAATGGTGGTTGTGCCGCCATCTATTGTTTGTCCAAGGACAAACTCTTCCTCCTGGATTACCTAGCGTAATCTTGAAAGCGTCAGTCTAGCTGTGGTATTCGAATAAAACGGAGTGATCATCAGATACCCCAGTGTGCCAACTATAGTTATTGCAAGAACTTTTTCTGAGCTTTTTCTACTGGTGTTAGTCACGAGGGCGTAGAAAAAGGTAAGTACATAATGTCATACGGCATTTAATTTTTTAAGAGTGTCATATTATTACGGTTTTATTAGATGGCGAATCATTTACGGCCTTGGCCCATACGCCTGCAGCTACTCAAGGAAGATCGTGAGGATAATGTAGACGAAAATTTTCCTGATGAAAATAGTGGAAATAATATTGAAGAACACTCCGAAGAAAATTCTAATTATTCAGAATCTGCTGAGGACACTGAAATGGATGTTGATTTGGAAGAAGCAACTTTGGAACAGCATCTCTTGAAGTCGGACGCTCGTGGCCGACCTTCAACGACGCTTAAGGGCAAAAATGGATTTGTTTGGGATACAAGAGCCCCGGAGTGTAGATCAGGTATGCGTAGATGTTTAAATGCCGGCATTCGGCGAGAGAGAGAATGGCATACGCTATAAGTTTTATGATATGATTCTGTAACTTTTAACAATAGTGTCGTTATCGTTATGTTGTCGTTGCGCAGCTTTTCTATCATGAATTATACCTGCGCAAAGACAACATAACGATAACGACACTGTTGTTAAAAGTTACAGAATCGCATCATTAAGGTGCGTTTAAGGGGAGCACGCTATCAATGCTACCCCGTTCTTCTATCTTTATCGCTCCTTAGATATACAACAAGGATAGAATAACGCTGTAGCGCCGAATAGCATTAATAGCGAGCTCCTCGAATGCACCCGTAGCATCGTACGTGTCATACCCAGATAGCAGACAGCCGTGATAATGACGTGAATCATCTGTTACGTCATTTATTTTTCAAGTTAACCAGATAATAACCAAATAACGTTTTTTTACAGTACTAAGTCACAGACCAATAACGTCATATGTACGACAACTTAATGACATCATTTTTTTACATAAAATGACGTAACAATGATGTATGACACTAGTTAAAAAAATATATTTTGCAAAAACGCTTGCAACTAGTCAGCTTATGTTGATTTTAAAAATATGAATAGAAAGTTAAAAATACATGCATAAAATATTTATTGAAAAATACGAACAGAAAGTTAAAAATACATGCATAAAATATTTATGTAAAATATGTTTACCTAGGTGTTTACATTACAAAACATTACAATTTAAGAAATATTTAAAGAAATATTTTTAAAATGTTAAAAATAATGGGATAAGTTTTCTTTTTTTCATTAAAAAGACGTTTTTTTAACGTTTTTAACGTTTTTTAACGTTTTTTAACATTTAGAAAAATGTTACTTTTAATATTTAATGAACGTTTATTTTAACATTTAGAAAATTTTTTAAATGTTAAATGTTAACATTTAGAAAAATGTTTTTAAATGTTAAAATACATGTTTATTAAATATTAAAAAACAAAACGTTCTTCCAAACGTTAAAAAACGTTATTTTAATGAAAAAGGAGAACTTATCTCATTATTTTTGACGTTTTAAAAATATCTTTTCAAATGTTTTTTAAATGTTTTTTAAATATTGTTTGCTTATTAGATAACAGAAATAACTAGTAAATAAGTAAAATATATTATATTATATTTGTAATATTTTTTAAATATTGCTATAATATTGCTAAAGTAATATTTAAAATTAATATCACTGCAATGTCTTTGCAACATTGCGCTGCAATATGCAATGTTGCAACGTTATTATTATATGAAAATATATCTATAAGAATAGCAAACTTATCTTTTTATTCGAAAAAGAAATTCGTCTATAATATGGTAAATTAAACGTTATCATAATCTCATTTTGCAAAGTCATTTTGATGTCTTAAAACATGACGTTAAATATACGTCCTTAAAATGACGTTACTGACCAATAATCATCGATATCTTGACATCAAAATAACGACAGCTTGCTGCCTGGGATATGTCTTTCCCGCCAAATCCGTTACTTGTTGCTCTATTTCAAAGTTACATTCGTAAAATTTTTTTAATGAAAATCTTGCTTATTTTTATAGATCGACACAGTGATGTTCATCCTGAACTAACTCCCGGGCCAGCAGATGCCGCATTGAATGTAGAGACGATTGAGCAGTTTTGGGACCTTCTTTTTAACGAAGAAATCATCGAAACTATCGTTGAACAAACGAATAATAAAATCGAAGATGTCTGCGCTCATCTGATAGCCGAAAACAAAGTAGAAACTTATCATCATCATACCGATGTCAAAGAGATTCGAGCTTATATTGGAGTGTTATATTTTGCTGGTCTTTGGAAATCGTCTAACATCGATGATAATAGATTGTGGGATAAAAAAAATGGCATAACATTGTACAGATGTGTGTTTCCAAGACATAGATTTTCGTTCTTATCATCATGCCTACGTTTTGATGATAAAAACAGTAGAGAAGAAGGAGATAAATTTGCGCCTGTCCGCAAAATTTGGAACATTTTCATTGGAAACTGTCAACGTTACTATACGCCAAGTAAGAAATGTACTGTAGATGAGCAGCTACTGAGTTTTCGTGGACGTTGCATTTTTCGGATGTATATTAAATCCAAGCCCAATAAGTACGGATTGAAAGTAGTTACTCTAAACGACGCGGAAACCTCGTATTTGGTAAATATTTTTTTATTTTTACATTTTTTAATTTGACTTTCTATATTATTATTTGATATTTATATATTTTTAATTTGACATTTCTCTTTCTAGATACACGCGATACCTTATTTGGGTAAGAGCATTGTTCGAGTAGGAGATAGAAACGAGTCAATTCCAGAATATTTTTTTCGTAAAGTCACTGCTCCAATCCACGGAACCAATCGCACAGTTACGTGCAATAATTGGTTTACAACGATACCGTTACTCCAACGTATGCTTCTAGACCCATTCAATATGACCATTACTGGCACAATAAGGAAAAATAAGTGGGAAATTCCCGCTGAACTGAAAGTCGCTTCCAAAGAAATACCTAGTACAAAGTTCTGCCATGCACTCCATTTGACGCTGCTGTCTCATACACCAAAAAAAAATAAGATAGTACTCCTCGTTTCTTCATATATGCACTCAAGGGAAATAACAAATAATAAGCCAAATATTATTCTTCACTATAATGAAACGAAAGGAGGCACTAACAGTTTCGATCAACTCTGCCATTCTTATACGGTCACACGCAGAACAAATAGATGGCCGATGCGGATTTTCTTTGGAATGCTGGACCAAGCTATTGTTAACGCCAGAATACTTTGGAAATGCAAGCTGAAAGCAGCCAATAGCAATGAAAAATACTCGGCAATCGTTTGCCTTGAAAGGATATACTTGCACTTGGTAACGCCGTTTTTGACAGAGCGGTACGCGACGTCGACTCTACGCAAAGATTTGAAGTTGGCTATAGCTGGGATACTCAAAAAAGATGTACATTCTGATCAGCCATATAAAAGATTGCAGTTAACATTAAGGCAAAGATGCGCATTTTGCACTCGAAAAGAAGATAAAAAAACTAGAGAAGCGTGCGCATCCTGCAAACGACCAATTTGCGATAATCATCGTATCTTGTTTTGTAACGATTGTGCTGGCTCATAGTTCAATAAAATCATTTTAAATATATTTTTCCAGATTATTTTCATCCTTTTTTGATTATGCATTCCTTTTTGTATATCAACCAAGTAAAATTCACTCATATCTAATAAATAAACAAATATACTTCGAAAAAATAAATAGTATTTTTTTAGCTCAAATTCATCTTTTCAATTCTCCAAATAAATACTTTTTTTTGAACGGTCATTATTAAACTATTTTTTTCCTTAAAGTGTTGCATCTCAAGAGTGTCAAATTAAATTTTTAGCTCTTAATATGAAAAATGGAAGTTATGCATTTTTTTAGTGTAAATAGTCATTTTTTCGGTTTTTTACGTTGTCAAATTTTTTTTTAAACTCAGTATTACATTTTATCAAAATAACCTATGACGTCTTTTAAATTGACATTTGAACTATTTTGGAGCTTTTATTTTATTTTATTTTGGAGCTATTATTTTATAGCTTCCACGCAGCAAGCATTTTAGTGATTGAGGTCTCAAACAGCCTAGTATACCAATATATGATTATGATGAAGTATGCCAGCTAAGACGCAAAATAAATTAAATTCTTGCATACGTATAGATACGTATAGATGATAAATTGAAAAATTAAGCAATCTTTATGCACTGAATTATATTTTTATCTAAGTGTAATTCTGACATTTTAAAAAATTATGATATAATATTTCAAACATTATTTTATGGAATTACTAGCTAAATGGCGCACGCTCGTAGAGCGAGCCTGTTTGTTTTATCTCTATCAAATCAAATATTTTCTTTTCTATCAGATTTTCTATTGATCAGATTTTGTTCGATCTCAAAAAATTAATCCGAAAAGCATACCTGGACGGCGCTATGTCGGGATTCGGTGTGTAGAGATTACCCGGCGTCTGGGCCCACCACGGACTCGCGCCACCGCAGTCGTTGCAACATCCGCAGGATCCAGCCGGCGGTCCGACGGCGCCTCCTTGGCCGTACAGCGACCTGCATCGCAGCTCCAACTGTTCCCAGTACATCTTCTTCTTCTCGTGACTCAACAATTGGTACACCAGCATGCATGAGAATATGCAGGCCAATATACCGGCCACCGAGACGCCGAAGAGGGCCCTCAGGCAGTCCGACAGCGCGCCGTGCACTGCCTCGCAGTGAGGCGTTCCCTCAAATAGCACTCCGGGATCTCCTTTCGATTGCGGTGCGCCGTAACACGTGCACGATCTAAACCGAAATTCGAAATTAATGTTTATCCGAAGAATGTTTACTTTTATCTCGGCGGAAAGGAAAATATAACTGAAAGGATTTTAGCTCTTAAAAGGAAAAGATTTTATTTTAGCTCTTTTCATATAAACATTTCTTTTCAATTTTACCATGTTTTCTAGTAGTGTAGGAATAGATCCAATAAAGTTTATCTTGCCAAGAGGAACATGGTAAATTTCTTAAGAGCACATTTCAGTTTCTAAAGTACAAATAGCACCTACGATCCAAAATGATAAACTATGGCAGAATGTCGATATGTGCTTCTTGATTATAAAGTTCTATTTTTACTAAGAACTTCTTCCCGTGAGTATATTCTTGTGTAATTTTTAAGTAGCTCAAATGAAGACTGATTGCGTAAACTGCTTGAAGAAGAAAATTGATTAATTTCTTCGACCACGTTCGCACGAAAGTAGTATCTATCGCGAGAAATCCCTTTGCACAAATGATCATTGTCAGGAGCCATATGTTCACTGTGATAATAGAATCAAGTCGACCTTTCTATATGGCGTTCTTTCTTTCTTCTCTTGAATAATACATAAACGATAGATGTAATACGTACCTCGCGCGCGCGGTGTAAACGCATTCGCGAAGTCCCTGCAAGCGAGACATGTGGATCACCGTGGTGGTGACGGTGACGAGAACGCACACCATCGCGCACACCACTCCTACGGAACCGCAGACTTTCATCTGCAAAAGTTATAAACCCGGTTTAATAGTGGAACTGTCAGCATCGCCGATGACGCTTTACCGCGGGGACGAGAAGTTCACGGGAGCGAAACTTACCAGAAGTCCGTATCTGTGCTTTCGCCTAGCTAGTAGCATCGTGAAGAGACCCATCAGGATCAGCTGAAAGTATTAACTAATTATTCGCCGTCAAATCGCGCGAACAAAAGACACTTTCATTGTAGAAACCCGCGAATTAATCTAATAAATTAAATAAAGAATTCAGTTGTGTCATATAATAAGTAAAATCAACAGTAAGGGATCTTCAACTAATTTGTAATAACAAGATGGAACTAATCAAAATAATTTACTTCTAAACCCCGCTAAGTACGACACGTTAATTCGTTTTCGCGCAGGACCGCCAGAGGCGAACACGCCATTGCGCACGCTAAGACAGTTTTGGCAATACGGCCGATCGATCTTTGTCTCTCACCATAATGCCAGGAATGTAAGACGGCACGGTCTCGAAGAGCGCTAAACTGGCCGTGTGGGCCGAGAGGACCGCGTGCACCGCCAAAAACAGACAGCCGACCGCCGCGCTCAGGCCGCCGCAAAGGCAGCAGAGGACGACGTACTTCTTGCAGCAGCCGCCTTCGCCGGTGTGACCTGCGAAGAAAAGACGATCCTGAAATGAAATTCAAATCGCCACCGCGATGAAGAAGTGTCCGGCGCGTGATCGCAATGCCGATTCGCGGATCCCGGCCACTTTGATTTCAGGCGTGGAGGGCGAAATGGCGATCGCACAATTCGCCAAATTCGACGGCGTCAAGGTTGCTGGTCATTAATCTCGCGCCGTATGTAGCGATACAACGTCGAAATGCGCAGATATCAATGCGAATGCAAATGTAATCACTGTCACTGTGGAGATTCGAGGAATTTCGCTCGCGGCACGTTTCTCATTGTAGCCAGATTAGGGGTACTGCTGTTAGATTCTCACGCGGGGACGATCATTATCCCGCTAACTGAGGACTTGGCACGACTTAATCCGGTTGCACTCGGGTCCCTTTACCTCCTGAAAAGGCTTGAATGGCGATGACAAGCGATCGAGATATCGTCATACGAATACGGCGACAGATAACGATGGTAAAAAGCATGCTCAATAGAAGAGACAGACAAAACCAATCTGTGATCTTTTAACGCGTGCGTTACGCGTCGTCGCACAGATGTGACACATATCATTATAGTTGCGCAACAGTCTTGTCGTTGAAAGTTACAGAACAAGCGCTGGCCCAAGAGTTATATTGCTAAAGTTATATATGCTAGATTGCTATCCAATGAAAAATTTTTCATGTATAATAATATAAAATTATATATAATTATACACAATTATGTATAACTATATGTATGATTACATATATGCGTAATTATGTAAAATTATATATGAAATTGTATATAAAATTATACATGATTATATATAAGTAACATGTATTAACATGTATGGACAAATTTTATACAAATTTTAATTGTATATAATAATGTAAAATTATATATAATTTTATATAATTATGTATGAAAAATTTTTCATTGGGCCAACTTGATCCGTACTCTCTTGAAGAGAGTCTCTTCAAGTGAATCAATAAAAATAAACTATCTCATCGTTGATCATTGGATATTCAGTAATTTTCAATGAAAAATTTACTGTCTCGTCTTCGTTACTAATTATAAACTAATTATAGTGGAAATAGGATTTCATTGCGAAATCTGTAAGGAAAAAGTACTAATTCTTGAACACATATCGAATCTTGGACGTTCCTATTATTTTGACTTTTACGTACGAATATTTAAATTTTCCACATAAAATATTTCTATATTTACACATATTTATATAACATATTATAAACACCCGATGAAAAATTTTTCATGCAAAATTTTGTATGAAATTTGTCTATACATAATTATGTATAATTATATATAATCATATAAAATTATATATAATTATACACAATTATGTATAACAATATGTATAATTACATATAAATTTATGCGTAATTATGTAAAATTATATATGAATTTATATATATAATTATATATAATTATATATAATTATATATATAAGTAGAATATATGAACATGAATGGACAAATTTGATACATAATAATATATAATTATATATAATTATATATAATTTTATATAATTTTATATAATTATATATGAAAAATTTTTCATTGGGCATATATAAAATATATATATTATATTGCGTACATATATATATGTATATATATGTAAATGTAATATTATTACATTTATATTAAATAAATATATTATGTATTATTATATATATTACATATAATATATATTAAATATATATTATATATAAAAAATATATATATAAAATAATAAGAATGTCCAGGATTAAGTATGTGTCCAGGTATTGGTGTTGTTATCTTAAAATAATAAATTCGTTATATATAACTTCATACATAAATCCAATTTTCTACATTTGTGACGATAGAATTAACGACTCTTATGCAGCTTATATGTCACGACACTGTCTGTGTTCGCAAAGTGCATTGATAATGATAATAATCGTTACTATTGACTGATCTTCTCAACAAGATTTTACTATGTAATCACAGTGTGCTATATTTATAACTGAACTTAGATGTAAATATAGTATTTCAATGAAGGATACATTGACTGCACTTTAGAAAATACCAAAGCAAGATGGCTCCATTGCAGCATATATTGCAGCATATATGTTCATATATTTCGTTTATTACAGAACAAAATATACAACCTACAAGATTGTCTCTAGTATTAAAAAATAGAGACAGGCTGCCTCTGTTATGTCTGTGAGTCAGTCGCAATGATTAGTCGCCTGAAAAGTAGCCATTACGGAAATTCTGGAAAGTGTAGCATCTTGGCCCAATCTCTTTTGCTGAGAGAAGAAAGTCAAATCCAACGACACTCGATCAGACGTATCGGAAAAGAGAAAGAAAGAAAGAGAGAGGGTGCGGGTGCGCCACGGCTCACAGCGTCGTGATTTATTCCTCCGAAAATATTCCGCCAGTAAAATTCACGCGCTCGCTCGCATTCGAGCGCGCGAATTGAGAAGCCGCCGATTGTATTTCCGTTTTCTGCCGCGACTCGCGCGCCACGAAACGCTTACGACGCTGCTTTTGTAACGTTCGACGCAGCTGTGTTATTCCGTTTGATGGCATCCGGGTTCGACTTCCATTGTCGAAGCCCCCTATTGAGTCCAGCGCGCCGTATTGGAAGTTCTCTCAATGAATTCTCCAGCGTTCAATATACCGCACGGCTTCGAAGACAATGTACTAATACTACCCCCGAGGCTCACGGCGAATAAAATTTGCGATCGCATGTGCATGCACATGCACGTCGTCGATTCGCGGGAGAAAAGATCGAAAATCTGGAGTGAGAATGTAATCAAGGATATTGAGTCGTTTTACTCGCGCGCTAGCCAATTTTTCTCTATGTCTTCGCGCCAGTAAATCAGTTTGTTTACAGCTGCGAGTTTTGCTGAATTTATGTTGGCCCTGCCAAGATCTTGCCTTGCTCTCGTTTTCTTACATCTTGTTTTCTTTCGTGTCATTTACGCAAATTTCTGTTCAGTGCAAAGAGAGACTTTTCCCCGTTGAATAAATAAATGAATAAACAAACTATACGCCGCGGGAGCGGGAGTCATTGTGCGAGCTACGTGAGCGCAAAGGTCAAAGGCCGCACATTATTTTCCTCGGGAATTTATGATCGCTCTCTCAGAGCGAGGGGCGCGCCCGGGAACGAAAACCGTAAGGGCTCGCGGGGGTAGACGTATTTCACGGCGAAAAGAAGAAAGAGAGAGCGCGAGTTTCGATAGAAATTTCCAAGGGATATCTCAAGCGTGACGCGTCTTCCGATACTAATCTGCCGTTCAAAGGTTAGATATAAGATTCACGGGGTAGAAATTCTCAAGAGGGAGGAAGCATGGTGTGCCGAAGGGATCTTTTGAGAAAAGTTGCTCTGTCTCTGTTTCTCTTTTTGTCGATTCAGCCCTCCGAAGGGGCGAATTCATGCTTTTCACGTTTCTGAGGACAATAATCTCGGAAATCGGTAACGTCACGTCGCAGATAGAAAGCGTACGCAACCGCATATTTCACCCCGTGTGTGCTCACACGCTTGAAGAACTCGTGAGACACCCGCGGGTTTTTTTTCTTCTCCGAGGTAACAATGTCCGTTCGACCTTTTTCATCCAGGCTGCGACACGCCCGCCGCTCACGTCGCAGTGTTTATCAACGAGAAGGAAAGGCATTGCGATGCACGAACCGATGCAGAACGAATTAGGAATTCGTCGGGGAGAATTCACCGCTGAGATTTCGACCGTCGTGGGAAGAAATGGCGGGGGTGGATTTCGGCACGCTACTTCGCTCGTCCGCTAACAATGAGAATGAGTATAACGAGATATTCGAAACGTCCCGCGACTTCTACAAGAGCGGAGATTGCGTAAAACGGTCCCGCTATTTCTTTCGAGTCTACGTTGCGCGCGTAAACGTGCGATCCATGCGGGCGCCATCCCCTTCATGAAATCGGAGCCGTTTATTTCGGGGCTGCAAGAGCAGCTAAGAATACTTCGTATGGCGCACGAATAGTCGATACGTCGAGAGCAATTTTTCGCTCTCACGTAAAGGAATATAATATTTAAATAAATACGCTAAATATGACAAATATATATGATACATGATAAATAAATAAATAAATATGTGTGTGTGACACTCGTTATTTAAACTTGTCTCAAGTGAGATACATAGATTTGTGAATTTAGAGTTAGAGATAAGAGTTTTTATGAATCATAATTTTATTATTATTATTACAATTTTTTTATTGCCATTATTACAGATATAAGTGATACATACATCATAATTTAATTAAAAATTTTAGATCTGAATAAAAGTCTGAATATCCCACATGAGACAAGTTTTTAGTAACGACTAATATAAATCTCAGTGTTTGCATGCCGTAATCAAATTCTACGGATCTCTCAATCAAAATATTCGTTCTGCAGACCATAGAAGAGAAACAGCAGCATTCTTTTGATTGATGAGGCAACTGTATATGAGAATATGCTAATTGATATTATATATCATAATAAGAACTATGACTGTGAGAACTGTATGGATGAGCAACCGTATGTATAGCAACAGCAATTTTTGATGCAATATCTATTTAACTTGGATTCACATAAATTTCTTTCTAACCGTAGAAAATATGGTCGTAGAATAACCATAACGGTTTTCTCGGTGTATGATTTACGAACGAGTGCAAGCGCTCGCTTAAAGAAGATAAACGGACGATATATAAAGCTCGACGTTGCAAAGCGCAGTTTTGCATCATCGGGATACATCCCTATGAAAGAGGAAAACATATTTTACTATACTGCACCGTGCGCGAGAAAATGTGCAATTTCGCCTCTTCTCTCCCTCATTAATGCGGCGGCAAGTTCGTAAACCGCAACATCGCGGGCGGAGTAATTCTCAATTTTGCGTATTACCACGCCGAGATGAAGACTCGACGGAGACGCGAGACGTACGCGCGTCGAAAGAGCGTGGCGACGCAACCTTTGACCTTGCCTCAAGACGACGTCGACGCGTGTTGGCCTATTAATAACGATGCACACGAGTGCACAAAGGGAGCGCGAGGGAGAAAAAAAAGGGGTTGGCTCGATACGAGCGAGCGACCCAGAGGTTGTCAGCGTACCACAGGGATGCGGATAATGCGGCCTCGGGAAGTGCGCGTGGCTCGCCGGATGCGGCAAGTGCGAGTGCGAATGCGAGTGCGCCGCTATCGGGAACGGATAGCCCTGGCCGTCCATCTCCATTTCCGTTCCGAGGCGGCAGCGCACTATTTGGAGCACCGGATTGCCATCCATCTTCCCGCCTCGTCGCCTTGGCCCGATCCGCTGCGATGATCCTCAGCAAGTCCACGAGCTCATCCCTGCGTCCTTGCCGCTCGCTGTCACGTGGCGGCGATCCTCCTGCGCGCTGCGACCGGAGCACTCTTGGCGGCGGTCGACCAAATCGACCGGAACTCTCCCGTGTCCTCCGATCGATCCTCGATCGAACGAGATTCGCGCCTTGTCGCAACTTGCTGACTTGAATTGTAGACTGGAACGTGAAATGCCCGAAAGTTCCGAGTTCCTGGAGTCAGTACTCGTGCATCGTTCAGTCGCAATTATCGGATTTTTATTTTCACGTTTTATCGCCGCGACGTTGGTCCTTAAAATCGCGCGCGAGATCGCGAATCAAGTGTCCCCTGTCAATACCGGCAGTATATTAATATTGTAGACTTTCCAAACTGTGTCTCATTCAGCTGTGACACGGCGCAATCGTCACGTGTGCAGCACTCGCGGGAATTTATTAGTCACTCACGACTGCTGTCACTTCTACTTGGAGGTTTCTCATATCGAAGTAGCCAAAAGGTTTGCTTAGAATCCGTGTAGCACAAAATATACGGCGAGAAGGTGAAAATAAATACCGAGCCTTTATAAATAACTCACGGTTATTGGATAGGTTGTCTCTTGAATCCAGACACCATTGGAGCTCGCGATGCACCTCGCGGGAAAGAAGAAACTGTCAAGATTATTTTCGAGAAACGTAGATGGCTATGACAATCGGATGACCGCATGTATGTGACACTCTTCATTCTTCTCCACGAAGACACGTGCAAGGAGAAAGTGTTCGCACTAAAGAGGAATCGATGCTGCAGCAGATGATACTTACTTCGCAACGGCGATCAACAAACCACGTCATTAAATCGCCCGCAATATTCGACACATACATGCGCGCACACGCTAATACATACACACACACACGTGAACATACGCGCGCACACAGGTCACGTGTCACCACGAACTCATCTCTCTCTCCAAGGTCACCTGTTCGTCTCGCATTTCCGACCGGGTCGAGCCCACTTTCACCGTCAATTACCATCATCGGGAGTCATTATTGGCGCGGGGGTTCTCTTGGTATCCGTCATCGAGTATTCCGCGCGACGATCAGTCGTCCACGACAGAAAGCGATTCGATATCACCAGTGTATCGATCTTCCCACCGTCCAGTCTTCTCAAGACGCGAAAATCCACCCCCCGTATCGATGATCGCGCGCTCCAGACAGAGGATCCACGAAACGTCGTTGGCGGCCACGTCGTCGTGGCGTGTCCTACAGGTGGCGGCTTCCGTTGTTGCTGGCTCGAGTCGGGATCCAGGTGATCCGGCTTTCTTCTCCACGTCAGCAAAGAAGAAGCGGATACTGAGCACGCGTGAGGCACGCAAAGAGAAAGAGAGAAAGAGAGAGAGGGGGAGAGAGTGAGGAGGGAGAGGGAGAGAGAGAGTAAAAGAGAGAGAGAGAGAGAGAGAGAGAGAGAGAGAGGCCACGTTGATAGTGCGACGACTGTGTCGTATCGTCAGCCCGTTTTTAACTCGCCCGCATCCCACGACGGGGTCGTCCTACTCTCAGTTGGTGCGAGCATCGACTGGTCGATATACCCCCGGATGATTCGAGCGACCCGGCGCGGTCGGGGGTTGAAATTCCGCGGGAATGCTTCCCCGGGCAAGAGAGAGAGAGCGAGGTAGGAACCTATCGCGTGGTCGTCGATAACGCGTGTCCGCGACTGATAAGACGGCCCACAAGGACGCATCCGTACATCGAACGTCGGCCTGCTCCTCATCCGGCTGATAGTGCAGTTGTCGTCGGAATAATCGTAAAACAAGCCGACATACAAGGATGGAGCTACCTTAACCGTCGACGGCGCGTCGCGCCGCGTCATTCCTTCTACCCGATCGTTCCGGCCCGGAATTTTCCGGAAACGCCGCCGTCCGACATTTCAACGACTGTCTGACATTTCAATCTCGAATGGAAATTAAGTCACCGGATATGGAGCGCGTGTTAACGTCATATCGCGAATCGGCGATATTCGTATCGACGCGTGCGCGAACGCACGCGGCCAACATCACGCCGACGGAAAATACACCTCGACTTTGTCTCTGAGTCTGATCGGGAAATTTTCCTCTCCTCATATCACGCCTCGGATATAGAAATATCCGAGGGAGAATCGTATCCGATCCCCGTCACTTGGTTATTCATCATTGTTAAATCATTAAAAGTTAAATATGAATCTGTCGATCACTTCGTTCACTTCGTTATCATGATGTTATATTCAGGTTTGGTCTTCTATATTTTATCGGAGGAGTCACGGCGGTAATAAAGATTACCAATCGACAAAATCATCCATTAAAATCAATAGTCGGTCTCGCGGATGAACTGCTGCCGGCGTAAATATTCCGTCGCGGGAAAAAATTCAATAACCGCGTGGAAGTTAGTCACTTACATTGATTGGCAGCGGTTGTCTCGTAGCGTCTTGTTGGTCTCGGCGGTGGACGTGGCGGAAGAGCGGGGGGTTGATGCGTTCTCGATGTCACCTCGACGCCTCCGTCACTCTCACCCTCGGCACCTCTATTGTTTCCTCCGGGTTGCTGCACCACGTGACATTGACACTTGTTCTTCGTAGGGGCCGAAACCTGAACGTCAAAGTGTGCGTGTCAACTCGTTATCAATTCTCGCGAGCAAGTTGATAGCGTGACGACAACCGGCCGATAAAGTACGATAACGAAGTGCTTGGAGAAAACTACCCTTAACTTACGTTGTATGAGTTAAATTACGTAACTCACTTATCATTGTGAGCGATTTGTAATACCTAATGAGCTGGGACAATATTTGTCGTCATTAAATTTGTCTCTCGCAATAATTACACTGATCTACGAAAAAAAAATTTTTCGTCACATGGATCAAATTATATGATCTATATAATGTGTCTCTTACGTTTTATTAACAAGTACAAACAGATTTTCTATCATCCAGAGTTTTTCAGTGGTGTGATTTTTAAGTTGCAATATAATCAATGTTTTTTATGTATATGGACAGTTTAAAAAATGTAAAAACTAGTAATTTTCTGTATATATTATACCTGACTTTATGATATGTTTCTCTTAGAAAGAGATTCTCTTAAGAATAATAAGTGTAAATATTAGTTTTTACCATGTCTTGTATCTAATTGAAGAAAAATCGTTGATCTTAATGAAATTTTATAGACAACTATATTGTTTAAATAGAGGAATTTTTCATAGAAAATATTTAAGAGCCATGCAACAATTACGTCGCATGAAATTTGACTATTTTCTATCCCTCACTTGGCTTCGCCACATCACAAAATTTGAGCCCCTTCCAATATTACGTATATGAAATTAATCCCCCTAACATAAAATTAAAAAATAGCTTATAATCATATTGTGAATAATAATTATTAGACTGCGCGCTACTATCTCTTTTTAAAATACGAATAATTTTTTAAGCATAATATCAAATTGATTTTATTTTATAGTTTTAGTTAGTGAAAGTTATGTTTCAAAAAAAATATTTAAAAATTAAGATTTTGTTTATTAACACGAATTATTTTTATAAAATGTAATATTTCTAAATATAAAAATTTAAATACACACAGAACACGCGTGATGTTCCATGGCCCTCACTTTCCCCCTCTCTGCCACCACCCTGCCACCACAACCCTCACGCAAGCTAATAGACCCATTCTACTCTTGTGACGTAACATAATTATTGAATGACCTTTTAACATTGAAAGCACTTCAATATAAAAGATTCAGAATTAAATTAAATCGTGAATTAGCGAAATATATATTTCATATACAATATATTAAATTTAAGATGACCAGCAAAATCGTGGATGATGAAGAAATCCTAAATTCACCCTGGAATTATGCGTATGGAAATATATAAAAAACATATAAAAAATTCCGTGTAAAAAATCATCTGTTGGTCAGGTAAACCTCCATATTGGAGATTTGCAGGGGCCGGAATGATTTCCCGAAATGTATAATTATCGGATCTTAAGGTGTAACGCGGCTCGTTAACGAGTATTAAGTACTACAATGCCGAAATAATCAAAGACACGATCGTCGATTTGTTTTCACGAACGCTTAATATAAGCTACCGTCCCTCTCTCGACAATGAGTCTCTTCTCCTCTTGCTCGTAGACTCGTTGTCAGACTACGAGAGCAACGATTCGGGACTCGAGCGAGTTCTCTTATAATCTCCGAGTCGCACCGCGACGTTTTCGATATTAAGACTCGCGCGGGCGAAGAATGAGTCCAGTGAAATATTTTTCGTCGCACACGTCGCGAAATTCGAACGCATTCCTGCAACGGGCAGCGGATCATTAATCACCTGTGCGCGCTGCATTTGGCCTTCGGCTGAAAATATTTCCTGATATAAGCTCTAAGGGCAGAACCGTTGCTTAGTACACGATTTATAGCTTCTCGCGTGGCTAGGACACGGCGAACGTAACTCAAGCGTGCGCGGATAGAGATATGGCGATTCACGAACATGTATTTTCTGAGATGTGGCGGCAAAAAACCCGCTAGGAATATACGAGCCGCTTGGGCGGAACAGTGGTATAAGTCATTCTCCTCATTTAGAGAAGCGGAAGGGAAATTTATGGAGGCACGATCGCGCCAAATCTAATTATCTCGTGCGTTTCGTTTCCTCTTCCTTTCTAATTTTTTTCTTCGCACTTCTGTCCAATTCGCATCGTGTGGCGCGATTATTTCGCGACTCGGAATTCCACATGTCGTACCAAAATAATTCTGCGCGCAAAATTTGATGCAATCCAGGATCTATTCAAGATATACGTATAGTTATCTGATTATCCATTAAATACATAGCGCTATTCCTTATTAAAAGTCAAGTTCTGAAAAAGTCAAAAAGTTCTGAACCATTTTGCTCTGCGATACTTGACGTAGTAATTATTAAGTCATATGGAACCAATCAGTTTACTAAATTACTACGCGTGCTATGAGACGCGCGACTCAAATGTTCGCTTTTAATTCGTAACTTTCCGATTTGATTTTAATAATAAATAGTATTATATAATTAGTAGACGAATTAAGAAACATCTCTGTAACATATCTGTGCACTGAAAGAAAAAATGTCTAAAACATGAAAAACATTTATTCAGTGAGTACTAATAGCGTATTTACTTTGGTCTGATTTCTTTTATTTAAATAGAATAAACAATTTTAAATAATTTTCTGAAAACTTTTGCTTTCATGAAAGTTTTTAAGGCTGAGATTTTAAGAAAACCTTAATTTTCTTACTTGAACAATATATTAGCACACATAAGATTGTTCACTTATACTAATATTTTTGTATTATTGTAAATTAAAGCCATCAAATAGATGCCTTTAATTTCTTTCTCTCAGTGTATAAATGTTGTTTATAAAATTTAAGTTCACCCACCTGAATTGCGTCGACACCCATCAGAGACACGTTTTTGGTGTCGCTCTGCCCATGCGGGTGGCCATGATTGTGGACATGAGCATGATGGTGCCCATGATGATCCAAGCTGGAAGGCGCTCTGTCCCGCTGCCTGGTGTCGGGATGACTCGAGTGCAACGAGTGCACCGACTGCAGGTGGTGATGATGATCGTGAACATGGTCCAGCCTGCTGTGAGTCCTGGTGTTGGCGTTCGACGACGAAGACTCGTAGGATATGCCGGAGCTGACGTGATGATGATTGACGCTGGAGTGGCCGGTCGTCAAACTGCCCGACGAACTACCATGATGATGGCCACCCAGCGGCGTCGTCGACAGACTACTGTTGACGTTAACCACGTGGCGATGCACCGCAGGTGAGCCCCCGTGGTTCATCATACTCGAGTTGGAAGACGCACCGCTCAAAGCACTGGACGTGCCATGGTGTTCACTGGGGAAGGCGGGATTCGAGTGGTGAGTCAAGCTGGAACCAGTGCCGAGCCGATGATGACTGTGCGGAGAATTCACGTGGTTTATCGTAGCGGTGATGGGCATCGACGTCGGGTGATGGTGTCCGGTCGGGGTGGTAGAACTGGTCTGATTAATGGAACTGGAACCTAGAACAAGGATGTTTAATTTGATATTTGAAGCTTTCGTGCGGTGCGGAGAAATGCTCGTTCTGGAATTCAAGTCAAACAAAAACTCTGCTGATCTCTGTTGCATTATCACGACGGATATTATAGATGCATCATAGATATCGCTGATACACTGAAATTTTCTGTTTGGGGACCAGATGAACTCAGTTGTAAATACAAAAAAATTCCTATAGAAGCCTATAAACAGCACAATCTACCGAAAGATGTTTTAAAAGTTTTCTTTATCTCCTGAGTGTTCAAAAAATCGATTTTTCTTTTCCTGCATTTTTTGAAAACTTATGGAATATCCCACGGATATATTTTCTGAAAATAATTAAAATTAAGCAAAATATATACAAGTTCAAAATGATGCAACGCATGGAGTTGCTTGATCGATTCAAGTAGTGCGTGTCAACTAGGTACCTTATAAAAATGTTTTAAAATGTATCAAATCAATCTATGAGGACTTGTCTGCAGACAATTTATTAAACCGATATCTTAGAGCATACTCAAAATAACAATAAATCATTAAATTCATCGATGTGGACTTTGTTCCGAAGAATATCTACGCCGACAAAAAGTAGTTGGACTATCACTAATTTCCTGGCCATCAACATATTCAATGATGGCTTCATAAATGCACTCAAAATGATAGAGATAATGACACTCATTGGCATAACCATTAGCAGCACAGCTTATAATTTAGCTGTTAGGCGGAATGAGGCCTGGCTTGAGTGTTTAGTTCATCATTCTCAAGGTCCAAAACAGCGAGGAGTGGACGCACGAGAAACGAAAACAACTCAAAAAACGAGAAGAAGAAGAGAAAAGTTTTCTCTATGACTCTTGAATATTTGAATAGAAATTCAATAGCTTTTATATATTATCACGAAAAATGTTTGACAAAAAGTTAAACTCGTTTTTCTCGAAATCGTGTTTCCGAACATGGTGAAAACGATACGAAAAAAACTACTAGTCCAATTGTCTTACGATTTTATATATATATTTAGCAAATATGTATAGTCATCGTCCAAAGCGCAATCAATACGTTGAATTTTTCAATTTTTTGGAAGTCCAAGTAAGGGAAAAGAAATAAGTAAAAAATTAAATTTTTTCTTCAAACTGTCGTTATACTTAAAATATCTACGCGACACCAGTCATATTGCTTCAAATTATAAGTTATATAATAATTTCACTAATCAAGAAAATAGAATTATAAGTTCACTCATCAAGAAAATTGCGCAGTTTTTTTTTTTCAAATCAACTACAAGACTTCCAGAATGATCACCGATGGATTGTGCTTGCGTGCAGGTCTAACTGTCATATTAAACTATCTATTGAATATGATATAAAATATTTTTTTGCAAATTACCTTTAACATGCTTATAAAAAATATATCACTTATAAATTATATCTACATTTTTATTCATAAAAAATTTCCTGAAAATCCTTTTGAATACTGTTAAGACCAGAAAACCCCCTCAAAGACGCTCAAAAGATGTCCTACTTCTCTTAGTCATCTTTTGAACGTTTTTAAGACATATTTTAGTAAATAGTTTAAATTTAGTAAAGTAGTCTAAAAAATTTTTATTCGGGTCAATTTATCTCAATTTATCGAATTTTAACAGTTGCATGTTCAGACAAATGTTTTCGGTCACGGTCACAGAGATATTACTTCTCATCAACGAGTTTTTCGTTTGGTCCTTTCGTTACACGGACTGAAACTTTTTTCGGCGTAGGAGAAAGAAAGGGAAAGAGAGAAATACAAACCAGACGCGCTCAAAGGCCCAGAATTCCCATGAACGTGACCGGTGAGACTAGCCGCCAGATTACCGTGATGATGTCCGGCGATGGCCTGCGCATGCGGGTGATGCGCCCCGGATCCGTGATGATGAGCGACGCCGGTCTTCGTGTTACCGTGATGATGATGCGTGTGTTGCCGTTGGTGCTGCTGATAGCTCATCAAGCCTTCACCAGCGTCCAGATTCGTGGCGCTTCTGAAGTTATCGGCGTGCTTGTGAATGTGGGCGTGCATATCGCCGTGAAAGTGACCGTGCACGCCGCGATCGACCGCCGCGGGCTCATGATGGTGCTGGTAAGGGTTTAGAACTTGCTGAACGCTCTTCAACTTATCCTTAGCGGTATTCTGTTTTTGCGACAAGCCGGCGTGCTCTTCAAGCTGCTTGTCTAGCTCCTTGCTGGTCGTCTCGAGCAGATTCGCTCCAGGTTCCAGCAAGGGGCTAGGACTCGAGGTCAAGCTGTGCTGATTGTCTTGCAGGTTCGAGCTCTCTTGGACGCGTCGCGCCGCTTCGAACGCCAGATTGCGAGAGAGATCTAAGTTGCGCGGGCTACAGGAGAGGTTATGACCGTGTCGTGACAACATCGAGCTCTGATTGTTGATGGATCTAGAATTGGACGAGATGTTCGTCTGATGCTCCAACAGATCGACGTTCCTGGTATTGTCCAGGTTGATCTGCGAGTTATCCTGGTGAGGGCTCTCCAATCTGCGTATTGGTTCAAAAGCGCTCTGCAAGGTCTCCAAACTGCGCTGAAGATCTTGACTGTTATTAGAGATTCTGGTGCTGCCCACGTTCCTCTCCGTCCTGTCCCTCGGGGTTCTAAGGGGGTCCATGTTGTTGATCGCGGAACACTGACACGGATGCTGCGTGCTTTCCGACACGTCCAAATCGCTGATCAATTCTGGTTGGGACATTTTAATGCCTGGAACGAGAGAACGTATGAAAAAAGGAGAATATATATACCTGAAGCTACAAAAAATAGATCCTCTTATTGAATACGCGCGAGAAGGCGCGATCGTGACTAATAATCGACTCGAAGAAGTACGGGGTTTCCAATTTTCTCGTCAAGAGTAATGACGGTGAGCAAAAGTCACGTCGACCGGTCGCCTCGCGTGGTAAATAGCGGGGAAGAAGCGAGACAAAAGGGTTCGCTAGGTGAATCTCTCGGCCGCTTTTACTTTTTACAAGCTTGCTCCCGCTGTTTCGTAATATGGAACGATTTATCAAGTTCAACGAAGTGGGGCAACAAAACGAGCTGTCTCTCGTTGGAGATACAAGAAGACCATACGGTGGTCACGCAGCCAGCTATCCTTCGACGCACCGATTCCGATCTAGGCGACCCATGTGTCAACGCCGTTGTCATTAACCCTCGTCTCGAGGTGTCGCGCACATGACGGTAATGAGCTACGTTTGCTCGGAAACGGATGAAAAATGTAAATTATTGTTATTAAATAATCGTAATTATTTAACAATGCGCTCACTTTCACCGACGGGGAGCTAACTCTGATCCGACACAACATGAGTCATCGAGAAAAAATATCTACAAAAATTTCTTCCGTCCCGAATATATTTTAATGTAAAATATACTTAAGAGCATATTGCCTATATCTAAAAAAATAATGTAAAAATTTAGAGAAAGAAATAAGAACTCGCAAACGAAGATATCAATCAAAAAATAGGAAAAAGGGGCAATTCGAGTTCAGGACAGCACAGGACTAATAGTGCTATGTACCATATAGGTAAAACCTTCCTTATGGATAAAAATTTTCGATTATTCATGTTCAATAAATATTACACGATTTAAAGGATAGCAACCTTTGACTTTGAGAGACTGACAGCTGTACCATTTGGTACAGTAACATTGTTTCTCTCTGTAGTCCCCGTGCGCTCTGGATCGCGCCAGAGATGTCGCTTCCGAACGGCATCTTTGAGCGTTATCTAGGAAGAGGAGAGTGTCGTAAGCGTAGAGCGTCAGGTAGCTCAGTGATTTAGAGCAGTCGTCCGGCAAGCGAAAGACCCGGGTTCGAGTCCCGGCCTAGCAGGACCGCGCTCTCTCGATATTTTTCTCTTTCTGGAACGAAAGATACGCAGATCTCGAACGCACGGCGTCCCGCCGCCACCTCCTTCTAACATGAACCCTCTTCAGTGATAATAAAAACTCAAGGTTTACAATACGAACGCATTACAATTAGTTAAAGACCTGAGTAAATTGACATGAATGTTAATTGCAATATTAAAGCTGACAAGACCGTTACCGAAATAATATTAAGTAGTTAATTAATATTGAGAAGTAACCGTCATAACTATAAAATTATTTTATGATTTTTTATAGTGTTTTTTTATAGTTATTCTCAATATTAATTAACTACTTAATATTATTTCGGTAACGGTCTTGTCAGCTTTAACATTGCGATTAACATTCATGTCAATTTATTCAGGTCTTTAACTAATTGTAATGCGTTCGTATCGTAAACCTTGAGTTTTTATTATCACTGAAGAGGGTTCATGTTTGAGCCGAAACGTATGATTGTTTTATATTGATTATTCATGTTCAATAAATATTACACGATTTCCTAACATAAGGAAAGTTTTACTCATATGGTACATAGCACTATTAGTCCTGTGCTTGAACTCGAATTGTCCCTTTTTCCTATTTTTAATGTAAAAATTGTATATTGGTCTGTATTGCATTTAAAACTAACAAATAATTTGACATTGACTCAGAACCTAGATTACAAAAGTCACTTCGCTTTGAAGTATGAATGAGCCTCAGCAAACATAATGACGTCAAATAACATATTATTAACAATGACATTATTGTTAATGACATTATTATTAATGACATTAGAAATATCATTAAAACATTATTAACACATTATTTGACACATTATTCTGCTGCTTGCGAATATTTTCACTTGTACTGTTACGGAAATATATGAAATATATGGATATATATTTAATAGAAATATATACTATGTTGTTTTTTTATCAAAGAAAAAAATGATTAAAAAATAATGACAATAATCTCAATTTTTATATAAATATGCTGTGTAAGTATTTAAGAGAGAGCGAATATTTTCAATTAATATTAATAAATTAATATTAATATTAATTCAATTAAAAAAAATATTAATGAATTAATATTAATATTAATTTAATTAAAAATATTAATGAATTAATATTAATATTAATTCAATTAAAAAATATTAATGAATTAATATTAATATTAATGAATATTTTTTCAGTTAAAATTTTCATTCCAATTTTGAAATAAAAGTTTAAAAGTCTCTCTCCCTCTCTCAAATATGATATAAAATAAAATAAATTATAAAAATCAATAGAAATGTCAACGCATTTATAATTTCCAGTGACTTTTTATAGAGTTTATACGGGCAATATATTTTTTAAAAATGTTACAATTCCATATTAAATATTCAGTTAATCGTCGAATACATAGAAAAGAAATTCTAACAACACAATTAAAAAGATCTTAAATGTTCTGACACAAAAATTAATCTCGTAATGCAAAACAACGTACAAGAAAAATCGACATTTAATAAATAAGCTTCAATGATGGAGCGAAGCGAAGTGCTAACGAATCTCTGAATTATGAAGAACCACAAGGGTGGCGTCGTATCCGCTCTGGACGCGGAAACGTGCGAAACTTTACGGCTTATTATCGCCACTCGTCGTTAAAACTTTTCCGATGGCTTTCGGCGAACTTAAATAAATATCTTCGAAAAGACTGGATGGCCCTTCACAACTGTTCAGAAGAGGGGGCGGACTTTTATGATCCAGCATTGTGCGCGGACTTCGGGAACCGCGCTGAGGCGGTTTATTACGCGTTTATCTCGTTAGGGATTGTTACGGGTTTCAATCGTGGAAGCGAGCCTAAGAACGTTGGATTAATAACTCAAGTAAATACGTGTAGAGCAATGCAACAAAGATGATTATAATTCTGAATAATTATTACGTCCGACGCATTTTAAAGAAAAAAGAAAAATACTTGAACAATCGGATCAAATCGGATTATTGAACGAGAGATATTAATATTTTCAATTTTTTCATATGTATGAACGAAACGGAAAATGAATTGCTAAATTATTCTACAACCATTAAAAAATTATTGCCCAGATTTATACTGAGTAAAAATTAATCGGGACGGGTCCCAAGTATGTGTAGTGATTTTAGCCAGGAATGATCAAAATAGACATGCCTTCATAGGCTCTAGATAGGCAAATTCTGAACAGAATTTCATGAATGAATCCTGGACATGAATGGTCCAAACGAGACTTGTACTAATAAGGTCCGATCAGGAGCAAGTTAACCAATTCTTAAAATGTTTTTAGTGAGAAAATGAATATTTATGACTGATAATTATTAAAGAAAGTTTAATGAGTGTTAGTACTTTTTAAATAGTTAAAATATGTATGAATTTTAATATTAAAAAATCTTTGCGATTTTAAATAAAAAATATAAATATATAATTAGTCAAAGAAAAAGAGGGAAGAAAGATGTCTGATATTGATAATAATAATAGTATTGTATTTGAAAGTATCATATATAATAAGAAAAATTATAAGAAAAGTTGAAAGAAGTTTTGCAATAAGCATGTTAAGGAGAAGGATTTAATTTATTATATCTTAAATAAATATATAACATGACTTCAATTCATCATTTCAGTCAGGATTTAGTTAGACATACCAAGATAGAGCCTAGTCCGATTTGCAAGTTTAAGCGCTAATTTGTAAGAGCGTTACATCCCTATGTAGATTCCAAGTATTTACAGGGTCTTGGTAGAAAAGAATGGTTTAAATCTGTTTGAGCCTCAATTTTAATTTCTACCCGGGATATCTCTTGAAACCTTTGCATTTTATCGCTCTCATAAGATATATAATAGTTGCCGCCATAAGATTACAATTAACTTCGAATATATCTCTCCCACGATTCTCAAATTAATTCAGATTTATGTGCGTTCGTCTGTTCACGCGGACTCCAGTGAGAATCCCGAAGAGCGTCCCGAAGAAGTCTATCTTACGCGACCGATTACGCACTAACGTCGCAACGGCGAGCACTACGTGCCCAGTCAGTCCGATATCGGGCATCTAGCTGCCGTAACCAGTCCGAAGTGGTCTTCGTAAGTACAACCGGTGACTCCCGGCCGCTCACATTCCTCGTATCTCGTTATAAGAGGCAAAGGCATTGAAGGCCACGGTCAAGTTCGATGCCGATGGCTGTGTGCTCGGCCGCTAGCTTTTTCTCAGCCGCTCAACGATCCGCGTGGTCGTCGCGAGAATGGGAATATATCCGCGCAGCACGTGAATTTCATTTCGCTCACCCTGGAAAACACGACACGCGAACCGTCGTCGGAAGCGCGAGCTCGCAAAAACACGTTCCACCGTGGCTCCCTCGCGTTAATTATAATTTCGATCCCGATCGCCCCGCGATCGCCATTCCATCAGGATGATCTTGTGTAAAAAGCGTATCCGCGAATCACAAGATCGCGAGTCGCTGACAAAGAACGTTCGCGAATGCGCGAAATAAATACTTATACTTGTAATAAAATTTAACAAGTTCCTTGACCAAGTCGAGGAATTACGCGACACTCTGCGTGACCCGTAGTTGTCACCTGAGACTCGTTTTATATGATATGCTCAGGTTTTTCTTCAGAATTACAGTCTTCACACAAGAATATTCGTAACATGTTAAGTTTATGGATTTCTTTGTACTTTGACTTAAGTTTAAGTCAGGTTACGTTCAGGTATAGCTATTGCAGTGTCAATACTTAACGTAACGTAACATGTTGCGGATGTTCTTATGCGGAGGCTCTTAGGTTCAAGTTTTTCAGTTAAGTTATGTATATGTATATGTAACGCTCATATCTATAATCATGCGCGCGATTCAACTGGAAATCTGTGTCTCTGAGGTCCGCATTAACAGTTGTAACTTGAAACCTGTTTCATGTGAGACACTCCGATTTTTATTCAGAGACAGATCTAAGTTATAAGTGATATTTATATCCAAGTCATAAGTGATATTTATATCTGTAATCGCAACTCAACTATATAACTTTGATCTAATTCTGAATTAAAACCTAAATATCTTACTTGTGAGACCCTGGCAAAAATTTGATGCAGTTTTCAGACAATTGCTGGACAATTATATTAAATTATGTCAAGTAAATGAGAAGAATAAAACTACTTGAGATCCCAATCGAGATGCAACACTTTTCCAGTCACTACACAAGAAAGATCCACAAAATGCAAATTTATTCAATGAATAAAAACAAAACAGATGGGCAAAAAACTATACAATTGATTAATATCCAAAAATTTACTGCTCATAATATGAACAGCTTTACCCCAACAGCATTTCAATTTCTATGTACTTTCTAATTGAAAAATTGTAACGCTAATAAAAGTCATAACGTATACGGAAAAAAAAATCTGCTATATATAAACAACTAAACATAATTTACTGTATTAGCCATTTCTTCTTTGATGCAGGAACCAATTTCCTTGCTATGATAACAATAAAATTTATTCTTGCAACAAAAAAGTAGCTAAAGCAGTAAATTATGTTTAGTTATCTATCAATAACAAATTTGCTACGTTAGCCTTTTCTTGCTGTAGGAGCAGACTTTCTTGTTATCATAGCAAAAAAATAACTTTCTGCAACAAAGAAAGAGTAGCTAACACAGCGAATTATATTTAACTGTAATATGTACTCCATATGTAGCAAATTAGTTTGCTGCTGCAGCAAATAATTTTTTTCCGTGTAGAAAATCTTTGGTGCGTAATATATATTTTCATATATTCCGTCTCTTTTCGATAGCTTTCATAACTATCAAATATAACACATATTCTTATTTCTTTTTTACTCTTCATTCATTCATATAGTTTTGTTATTTCATCAGATTCAGAATCTGAGCTGTTATGACGATTTTCATTTCCATCAGAATAGTTTGACGTGTTTCCATCGCAATGAAATTCTGTATTATAAACATACACCTCATCTATCTTTTGCTTATTTTTGTTTCTATTTATTGGTTGTCATCTCTGTCACTGAGTTTAATATTATCAAGTGCCTTATTTCCTCCAATTTCCTTTCTCTTACTCAATGTTTTTTACACGTTCATTCATTGCTCACGCAATTTTAAGCTCTTTTTTGACAATATAAATAACATGTTTTAAATTTATTCATGACAGAAACACATCATAATACATATATGTTATAAAACTGAATTAATATTACTGATACTATGCCTCGGAAAGAATCGGCCCACATATTGTACTGTAAACTGCGTCAGCCATTGAATAAAACTTTATCAATTTTTTGTCCAATTCGTACGTTATATTTTTACAATCAACAAGAACGCATTAATACTAAACAATAACTAGACGAATGTCTACGCAAACTGCATACATTTCAATCAAGAGAATTTCAACTAATAATTATTAATACAGACGTATTTCGAGTCGAAATTTTAGTCCTATTTTGGACTTCAACTTTCTAACATCTGTTTATTCTAAAAGATAAGTGTATGTGTAATACACATGGAAACTAAAACTCTACTTAGCGCCTCTAAATGGTAGTAAATAAAATGCCATTTGTAGATCCTAAAAGTAGATTTCTCGTTGAAAATTAATAGGATAAATAGAGTCAAAGGAGGTTGATGTTCTAGAGTATCAAAATAGGCGTTAAATAAAATATTGAGGTCGAAATATCGACTGAGAATTTCGGCTCAGGATATAACGATTGGTGCATCAGAATAAATTTCTTGCCAAAGAAACCGAAAGACCTCTGCGAATTTCGACTTCTCGGTCCTTCGGCGAAACCGACGTGCCTCATTATTATCGCATCGTTATTAGCGAATCGCGCTCAACGGGCTCGCCAAGTCGTTCTTCCCGGCGCGCTCACCGGCGCTCGCAACACCGTGAGAAGAAGTGGCCGACCTTTTCGCGATACCGACCCAGGCGCTTCGCACGCGCCTTGCGAAACTTAACAGCGAACAGCTTGCTGCTGCTGCTTACAGTCGAGTTCCGCCTCGACCCGATCGAGAATTAACACACAGCCGGCTGGCTGCTCACCTGCGACTCGGCTCTCCCGACGTCGACCGGATCCTCTCAATCACTGTCCCCCAACGGCGGCGCGTCTTCCGCATACCCGGCGATCTGCTCGCGATGTAGCAGCCCGATACTCGTCATGGGCCTCGTGCCTCGTTATCCCTCGGGAGCGCCCTCCAGTGGCTCCGAAACAGCGCATTTTCGACGGCCACCTGCGAACGCCTTTTCTCCTGCTCCAATGGTCGCTGAGATCAAAGACGCTTAAGGAGGTTGCGGTGCCCCTCGGAGCACCACGGCGTAGGGCCCAAAGTGACGAACGGGGGAGAGCGAGCCAGTGGAACGTGAGCGTGTGTGAACAATTTGGGAATTCCTTCGTTGACAACAATGAGACTTCGCGGAAGTAATCAATCGTGTGAGTGGGCCTTATACTCGAGATAGGTCTTGGCGATCACATCAGCAGAAGCAGAATCCCTGGAGATCCGTCTGTTCGGCAGTTACTCCAGACGCCGTTGACACTGTAAGTTACCGTCACGGTCTGCTGGTAATGAGTCCGCGAAGAAGCGCATTCAAAGACGGGGACCGTTATTTATTCGAAGTCGGTTTCTCTTCGCAACAGCAAAAAGTTGCCTGGTCGCGATTTGGCGTCGAGTCTCTCCCGAGATTGAATCGTGGCGAAACCAAAACATCGGGATCAACGTAAAAAGTGTACGATTCACCACAATTTCACAATGATTTAATACCTTTAGCACGATAACACGGCTTTTGTTCTTGTCACTGACTGATGAAATTTTCACGATTCAAGCACTACCACACCGCATGCAGGCCAACAACGCTCGAAACCGGACGTTCCCCCCCCAAAAAATGTAAGTTAAAATTTCACCGACCGTCACGCAACGAACACTAGGTCCACGACGTAAACCGCACATTTGTATCATCCATACCACGACGAGGCGTAAGACCCAGGACGAGCAAACTGTAAGTATACGACGTGAGTATAGCAGCGGGATACCGTGAGAGACTGTCGGGGCCTTCCACCTTCACTGCCAGCCGTTCTGCCTTGGAATGTGCCTTTGCCCCCTGTTCTCCCCTCTCAAGTCGATAGAGGGGCCCCAAGGGCCCCGACTGTGCGTTGCACGGCGTCCCTCTCTCTCTCCTCGCCAATCGTCCGCCGGCAACCGTCGATTCGGTTCTGGGCCTGACCGCGTGTCAGCCCACCCACTCTCGAATGCCTCGAGCAGAGCTCGATGGATAGGGTAGGACGTTCGAGTCGAAGCAGACTTTCGGGAGCGCATTAAGTTCCTTTTTTGCTCATTATTGGGCATGATAAGCGGCCGTTTTTTTGGCGAGTTCGACAATTGATCGAAGTTCGACTCTCGCGTTACGCTAGGTATTCCGAATGAGAGTTTTATTACCTTATCGGAACAAGGTGAATTATTGAGTGTTTTCTTGTGAACTGTGTTATATATATAAAAAATAATTGAATTACTTTTTATAAATAAATTATATAAAAAAAAATTTCTTAAAAAATATATATATATATATATTACTGTCTTCGTTTATTCTCGTGCATAATCAGAACGCGGGCACAACAACAAAAAATATATATGTGTATATATATATATA